GAAAATAGGGCTCAAAGTGGGCAAAATCGCCGATGCGTAGGCAGCCTCAAGACCGCTATCTGCGCGAGAGCATAATTTCCATCAAATTTCATACTTTTGGTGTCATTATGATCGGGAAAAGATTTTCTATCATTTCATAAGAAAAAAGTCATTTATATTTTTTTCGAAAAATTTTCGATCCTGAGGACAAGTTTAGGAGAGGGCCTCTCGTCCCTGAAAGGGTTAAGAATCATAGTGGCATACACAGTGTGATAAGGCATGGTGAGGCTGCCAGTTCTGACAAAAAAGCGGCTGAGAAATATGTGCAGGACTTTAAGGAGTACATAGACACTGAAAAATTAAAACCCAAACAAGTGTTCAGTTGTGACGAAACAGGACTCTTTTGGAAGAAAATACCAAACAGGACCTACATTACTCAGAAGGAAAAGGTACTCCCAGGACACAAGCCTATGAAAGACAGGCTAACTCTAATGTTTTGTAGTAATGCTAGTGGGGATTGCAAAATGAAGCCTTTACTTGTGTATCACTCTGAAACTCCCAGAGTGTTCGAGAAAAACAATGTTGTCAAGACTAAATTGTGTGTGATGTGGAGAACAAACAGTAAGTCATGGGTCACTAGGGACATTTTCCTGGACTGGTTCTATGACGTGTTTGGCCCCACTGTGAAAAAGTACCTCCTGGAAAATAAATTGTCACTCAAATGCCTCCTGGTAATGGACAGGGCTCCTGCTCATCCTCAAGACTTGCAAGAGCAAATTGCAGGGGAGTTAAGCTTTATCAAAGTGAAGTTTTTGCCTCCTAATACCACTCCTCTCCTCCAGCGCATGGGCCAGCAGGTCATTTCAAACTTCAAAAAACTGTACACCAAAGCAGTGTTTCAAAAGTGCTTTGAAGTGACCTCAGACACTGAATTAACCGTAAGAGAGTTTCTGGAAAGATCACTTCGGTATCCTCAGTTGCATAGGTAAGGCTTGGGAGGGAGTGACTTGCAGGATTTTGAACTCTACTTGGAGAAAATTGTGGCCACAATGTGTACAAGAGAGTGATTTTGAAGGGTTTGGGGCTAACCCTCAGGAGACTATGCCAGTTGTGGAATCTATTGTGGCATTGGGGAAGTCCATGGGGTTGTAGGTTGGCGAGGAGGATGCGGAAGCGTTGGTGGAGGACGACAATGAAGAGCTAACCACTACAGAGCTACAAGAGCTTCAGGGGCAACAGCAACAGATCACAGCTCAGGAATGTGCTTCATAAGAGGAGGAAGAGAGACGGAGGAAGTTGCCTTCGTCAAAGATTAAGGAGATGTGTACAATGTGGACAAAGTTGCAAGCATGTATGGATGAATATTATCCTGACACAGCTGTTGCAAGCCATATTGGCAACATGTTCAGTGACACTCTTGTGTCCCATTTTAGGGAACTCTTAAAGGGACACAAGAAACAGAGCTCTCTGGACAAATATTTTGTGTGACATGGGTCCAGTGACTCTCAAGTTGTTCCCAGTGGCATTAAAAAACCAAGAAGGGAGGTAACCCCAGAAAAAGACTTGTTACCTGAAGTCTTTATGGAAGGGAATTCCCCTTCCAAACACTAGTACACCTTCATCCTCTCCCCTCCCCCTGTCTCATCATTCATCAACAAGTCTACAATAAATGTAAGTGTCATTTCAGTATTGTTTATTGTGCATGTATCATTGTTTTGTGTGAGGGAAATGTGTATTTCATGTAAAAACAATTATTTTGTTTAATAATTTTTGGGTGTCTGGAACGGATTAATTGTGGATTTCCATTATTTCTTATGGGGGAAAATTAATTCGGCTAACGGAACGGATTAAAGGCATTCCCCGAGGGTCCACTGTATTCTGATTTTGGGCAGTAACTTTTCATCCTCTTGGGAAGCCCCTCATTAATATTTTATGCACATCTGAGGTAGTGTTACAGCATATCATCTGTTGCTAAATTCTTGTAAACTCTTAGTACTCACCATTGAGTGATATTTATGAATGTTTATCTATTAAATTAAAATTAGAAAATCTGTGAAAATACGGTAAGTTTACTGGCCTGTAATGTGACTATGAGATGTAATTAGCCATGCAATGAATTAGAATGCTTGTTTAAAAATGCCAAGACATCATATTGTTCCCATCTTGTAAGACAGATTTAATACACTATTTTCACTTATTACATATGAATTATTCAGCAGTTACATGATGTGTTTTTCAGGCTAGTTGTTTGCCAGTGTTAGTGAGTGGCATAAAGCCAGGAAGTAACGTGATTGATGCATGTGCTGCCCAGGCAAAAGACCCTCTACATTGCAGCAGCTATCAATAACACTGGGTAAGAAACTGTTGTGGTAGCACACATGTACATGCACGGACACACACATGGACTCATGGATGCACATGACTTTAATGAAATTGTAATTTTTAAGCAAATCAAAAACAAGTTTTTTTTTACAGGATTGAGACTTTTAAAAAGAAAATTAAATTTGAAATGAAAGCACAAAAAAAAAAAAAAATCTGAGGTTTTTTGTGCTTTTAAATTTAATGAGGGGAAAACTTTTCCCCCTTTT